GAGGCTCATACAACTCTTATCACAATCCATACATCCATCTATTGTGCTAAGCACATTTGTACATTTGTTGCAATCATCATTCTCAAAACATTTGCTTTCTACTTGAAACGTTGGTATCAGCTCCTCATTTTTTGCCCCTCCCTCTACCACCCTGCCTCCCTCATGAACCTTTGATAATTTAGAAATATTATTTTTTCATGTCTTATATTACCCGATGTCTCCCTTCACCCACTTTTTAGTTGTCCATTCCCCAGGGGAGGGGGTTATATGTAGATCATTGTGATTGGTTCTCCATTTATCCCCTGCCTTCCCCTAACTCTCCTGGTATCAATACTCTTATTATTTATTGGTCCTGATAGGTTTATCTGTCCTGGATTCCCTGTGTTTCCAGGTCTTATCTGTACCAGTGTACATCCTCTGGTCTAGATGGATTTGTAAGGTAGAATTGGTGTGCAGTATAGCACCAATGAAACATACAACTTTCTTCTAGTTCTTTGATGCTACCCCATCTTGCCAGGAGAAGCCAGCCCCTAGCACATCATTACGGATCTGGTTGGCGCAATTGTACAGCGATAATAAGTAAAGATTATAGTAAAGTTATAGAGAGCATGAGAGATAGAAGAGAAATACAGACACAATTCATGGTAGCATGCTCACCTCAGCCCTGCTGCTTGGTGGTCCTTGTGGAGAGATGGGGAAGGGAAGGAGAATAGGAAAGGGAACAAGGGAGACAGGATGGGAGAGCAGGGGGGAAGAGAGGGGGAGAGACCAGTGAGAGCGGCCAGGGAGAGAGAGCTCTATTGCTAGCCCAGGCCTATATATCATTTGGGGCCATGCAAGCCCACTAATTACAGGTGAAGACATATGGCACAGGAAGGGTTTGCACTATAGACTACACATTAATGAGAGGGGGTGGTCTAGGGACATAAACGCAATAGGAAGAGGAGGAATTGGGGTATACATGTGACAAGATGGGCGGTTCCTAGATTTAGGATGGCAGCTTAACTTTGACCTGTTCTCTGGGTCTCCATATGAACCAGTATCAGTAGGGTGTAAACCCCACCTACAGGAACCAGATAGATGACTACAGGCCTGTCCATTGTCTTTAACAGCAGGGATGGAGCGCCCACCCCTGTGGTGCTGCAGAGACAGCAGTCTGACCTCCCCCAACACCCCCTACTATCCTGATCCCAATTCTAACTTATAAATCTAGTAAAAATGTTATAATTCCAAGTTTTAAATTTTGGTTGTGATCAATTTTGAGAGAATATTATGTTAATATTATATGAAGCCTGAGTTAAAATCTATGTTTTTGCTTGTACATAACCATTTGTTCCATTACCATCTATTGAAGATACTTTTTTTCTCCCTTGAATTATTTTTGCACTTTTTCTCCAAATCTTTTTATGTCTAGTTCTATATTTGAACTATCTCTTACTTTCCGTTAATCTTTTTATTTTTATTCCATACCTTTGTTGCTGCTACTGAGTACCATTGATTTGATTCTGGCTTACAAAAGCCTCCGTAAGAATAGAACTGACTTACAGAGATGCCCCTGTGACAGAGTAGAACTGCCCCACAGAGTCTCCTTCATTGTGGTCTCTCTGGGCAGCGGTTATTTAGGTTTACATCTGCAAACCCTTTTGTTAGCAGCTAAGTGCTGAACGATTGTGGCATCAGGACTCCTTATGTTATACTAACTATCCTTTTTTTTATATAATAGCTTTATAATAAGGGCTATCGTGGCAGTTTCTTTTATTTTCCCCTAGAGTTGTTGGCTATCCAAATCAATTTGTATTTCCATACTTAAAAGCTAAAACCAAATCCACTGCCAACAAGTCAATGCCAATAGTGACCTTCCAGGACAGGGTAGTTTCCGGGTCTGGCTGGGAATAGAAAGCCCCTTCCTCCGCCCACAGACTGGCTGCTGATTTTGAACTGCGATCACAGTTCAATGCGTAACTAATATGATCCTCGGTCTGTATATAGGGAGCTTTAAAAAGTGCATGGAAAAAAGGAATTATAAGTAATGTTTTTTCCCATGCAGTTTTTGAAGCCCCTGGTTTAGCATTGTGTTAAATACAAAAATAAATTTATAGAGAAGTAACATTTCAGCAACATTTAATCTCCTAATGAACACAGTATATTTTACCATTTATTTAAATCTTTAATATTTATCAACACTGTTTCATTATTTAAAGTAGATAGGTCTTATATGACTTTGGATAGATATATACCTAAGCAATGTTTCGATGCTATCCATTGGGTTTTCAGTGGCTAATCCCTCTGAAGTGGACAGCTTATTCCTTCTTGATAGTCTGTTCTTAGTCTGAAGTTCAGCTAAAACCTCTTCATTTTGGGTGACCCTACTTGTATTTGAAATACCAGTGACATAGCTTCGAGCATCAAAGCAACACAGGCGCCTCTGTAGTGCGACAAAATTGACAAGTGGACTATGCAAAGGCATTAGACTATGTGGATCATAACAAACTATGGATAGCCTTGAGAAGAATGGGAATTTCAGAACACTTCATTGTGCTCATGCAGAACCTATACATGGATAAAGAGGCAGTTGTGCAAACAAAGCAAGGGAAAAAGAAAAAGAATATATGAGGGGGTATCCTGCCCCGCAAATGAATGTTTTCCCAAAGCTATGCATTTAATTTTTATTTACAAAACAACTTTATCACCTTCAAAGTACTCTCCATTACACTTAATACATTTCTCAAACCTGAGATTCCATTCTTGGAAACATTTTTCAAACTAATCTGTTTGGGTGGCCGACACCATTCCCTTGTTTTTTCCTTCACCTCTTGTCAAATCGTTGTCCTTTCATGTCCCTCTGCATTCTTGGAAACAAAAAGAAGTCCCACAGAGCAAATTCAGGTGAGTAGGTGTGTGAGGCAAGAGAGGTATGCTGTTTTTTGCCAAAAACTGGCACACTGAGATGGCTGCATGAACAGGTGCATCATCCAATCCCTCAGTGTCTGCCACAAATGAGGCCTTTTTTGTCACACACTGTTACACCGTCTTTTCAGAACATCTAAATAGAAAGCTTGATTAACAGTCTGATTTGGTGGAACAAACTCCCAGTTGACATTTTCATCCTTTCAGGAAGTTGATAGACCTCCAGAACGAGGTTTGTCATCAATTGACATTTCACCTTTTTTGAAATGAGAAAACCACTCGTACACTTGAGTTTTCCTGTAGCTCTGTTCTTGTAAGCTGTGTTCAATATCACAACAGTTATTTGGCATTTTTTCCTGAGCAGGAAACAAAATTTCACAGCTGCATGCTATTCTTTTAAATCTGTTATCACAAGACACGAAGTTCAAAGGAAACTGCTTTTCTGAAAAATTCACTGTGACCAGAGGACCTTCCCAGCAGATACCACTGGGTGCACTAACTCAGAGCTTATTGCTGGATGCTTGCATCGCGGGAAACATGCCTACTGCGAAAGCTCTGCTCAGCATAGCTTTTTTCCATTTTTTTTTTTTGGTACCCCTCAGATATGAAGAACAATATGGTATCAGGATCGAGTAAGACTTATTATCAACCTGCAATACAACCTCATTTGATAGAAATGAAGAGGACTTGAAGCATTTGCTGATGAAGATAAAAGATTTCAGCCTTCAGTGTGGATTACAACTCAATGTAAATAAAACCAAAATCCTCACTATTGGATCAGTAGGCAACATCATGATAAATGAAAAGAGATTAAAGTTATCAAGGATTTCATCTTGCTTGGCTCCACAATCAGTGGTCCTGGACTCTGCAGTGAAGAAATCAAAGGAAACATTGCATTGGGTAAATTTTTGCACAGTACCTCTTTAAAGTACCTATGACCCAAGCCATGGTATTTTTACTCACATCATATGCATGTGAAACTTGGACATTGAATAAGGAAGACTGAAGAAAAATGAATGCAACAACTCTGGTGCTGGTGGAAAAACATTAAAAGTACCATGGATTGCCAAAACAGTAACAGATCTGTCTTGAAAGTATGGTCAGAATGCTCCTTATGGGCAAGAATGACAAGACTTTCTCTCGTGTACTTTGGACATGTTGTCAGGAGAGACCAGTCCCTGGAGAAAGCCATCATACTTGCTAAAGTGGAGGAAGGCCCTCAATGAGATAGACGTCTTGACACAGTGGCTGCAGTCTTAGCCTCCAACAGAAGAATGATTGAGGACGGCCTAGGACTAGGTGGTGTTCATTCTGTTGTGTGTAGGATTGCTATGAGTTGAACCGTGTCAATGGCACCTAACAACAACATCCTTAAGCGCTTCAAGTGTTTTGTTTATTTTACAATATTGTAAATTAAATGTGAAATAAAAAACTGGTGGTTTTTGTTGCTTATATATAAATGCAATAGACGTTTGTATATTGATAAAGTAATTTTCAATCTTGTTGCTGAATTTATTCAAGCATTTTAGTAGCTGTCTTTTAGATTCCATTAGATTATTATACACATATAATTATGTCAGTTTTGAATAAACACAGGCTTCTTTATTTTCATCTGGGTGATTTTATTTCTTGTCTGATTGGACTGGCTAGACTGCCCAAGAGAGTATTGAATAAAAATGGTGAGGACATCCAGATTTTGTTCCTAGTAGACAGACATTAAAGATAAGCTTTAGTCTTTCACCATTAAGGATGAGCTATTTTGGTAGATGCTTTTAATCAGATCTATTTTCAATTTGTGGCCACTTTTAAACAGGTATAAATATGAAGTGCTTTATTTGGTGTATAATTAAGATTATATGTTTTTTCACTATGATTTTTTTCACGACATAATGTGTATGTTAATATAATTAACATAATAAACATAATAGTTTAAATGTTAACCAATGTTTAATTTGGGGGAATAAATCCTACTTGTTAATGATAGAATATCCTTTTAATATATTTCTTTATTCAACTTTGGAAAATATTATTTAGACAGTTTTTACCTATGGTCATGCAGATATTGAGCTGCAGTTTTCCCATAAAGCCAGTATCTGGTTTGGGTATAAGGGTAATGGTAGCTTCATAGAAGTAGGTGAGAAATTTTCTTTCCTCTTCAATTTTTCAGAAGTGATTTTCTAGAACTAAGTATTAGTTCTTCCTTAAATGCTAGAATTCATCAATGAATCATTGTAAAGTTTTGTTTATGGCAAAGTTTTTAACTATAAGTTTCATATATTCAGAGCTATTCTTCTCAAGTAACCTGTGTTGAGTTTGTCATAAAGTTGTGCATAATAGCCTCTTGTGATTACAAAAATACCCTGTCTAATATGTAACCATGGCCTCTCTCTGTTCCTGATACAGATAATTTCTATCTCCCTTTTCTTCTACCTAATGAGGCTGGCTAGAGATCTGCCAATTTTATTGATCTTATCAAATAATAATTTTGATTTCTTTCATTTTTCTCTGTTGCTTTTCTTGGCTGCTCTCTTATTTATTTCCTTTCTTTTGCTTACTTTGAGTTTCATTTCTCCTATTCTGGTTTCTGAAGGTAGAAACTGAAACTATTGATTTGAGACCAATCTTTCTGAAAATACAAATGCATTTCCTGCATATATTGCATTATAAGTGTCTCTGTGACCACTGCTGTAGTGTAATCTGCATATTTTTATATGTTGTGTTTTTCGTGTGCATTCACTTAAGAATGCAGATTTATCTTTTGGTTTTTGATCCATGAGTTACTTATTTTCCAAATCTTTTGATTTTTTTCCCAGGTATCTCTCTATCATTGATTAACACTATAATGTTATTGTGCTTAGGGGGAACATAGTTTGTATGATTTAAGTCTTTCAAAATTTAAGAGTTGTTTAGATAGGTATAAGGTCTGTTTTCTTAGATATTGCATGTGTATTGAAGAAGAACACTGCTGTTTGGGGGGTGGATAGTGTTTATGTCCATTCTGATTTTCTACTTGTTTTATTAATTACTGAGAAAGAACTATTGAAATATCCCACTATAATTATTGATTTACAACTTCTTTTGGCTCTGTTTTTGCTTCAGGTATTTCGACGCTCTGTTACAGGGATAACTATTCCGAATAACTTTAAGATTGTTCTGTTCTCTTGATGGATTGGCCCCTTTACCATATTCAATAATCTGGCTTAGCTCTGGTCATTTTTGTTCAGAAATCTACTTTACTACTAATACTCATACCCAACCACAACCCAAACCCATTGCCATCCATATGATCCAACTAACGGCAATACCAGATAGCGCTTCCAAGACTGGAAAGCTTTGTAGAAGCAGTCAGCCCCATTTTCACCTGTGGAGAAGCTGGCAGTTTGAACCATTGACCTTGTTAACAGGCCAGTATCTAACCCCATGAGCCACTAGGTCCCCTTACTAATATTGCAACTTCAGTTTCTTTTGTCAGTTTTACTTTTCCATACTTTAACATTTTGCCTGAGCACATTTAACCATTTGTACCGCTTTATTTGGGGCGATTTGGTCATTAAAGAAATATTTGGGCACTTAGAAACAATCAAATGTGAATTCTGTTTCAACAGAAATGGTTTAATACATACTTTTGTTTTCTCCAAAAGAGAGTGAATCTTTATATGCATATACAGTACTTGTAATGTACATTTCTTTCTTTTATTTTAAGGTTGTATGCTAGCTCTGCAAAGACATTTCTCTCTGCAGAGAAATCCATGAGCCCTTTGCAGTGGTGTAGACATGTCCTGGATAATCCAACTCCTGAGATGGAAGCAGCAAGACGGTCCCTATGTTTTAGACTGGAGCAAGGTAACTTTAAACCTGTGTGTCTACATGTTCAAGCTTTTGCCACTATCAGCTATTTTTGTTTATAGTTTCAGAAGACAGCAATCCTCTGGCTAAGCTTGGCTTTGCCCTTTAATGGTATGTAGATTTGCCCTCACTTTGAAATAATTGATCCTTGTCCCTATTTGCAACAAATTCTTTATGACAACCACTTTCATTTGTTGCATGTGCAGCCTTTAAGCCATTGAAAAGTCTTTAAGTCTTTTTGCATAAGCCTAAACCCATGGCTGCCCAATCAATGCTGACTCACAGCTACCCTATAGGACAAAACAGAACAGTCCCATAGGATTTACAAGGCTGTAAATCTTCCTGGTAGTAGATTGCAATGAGTTTCTTTTCTTATGACTTACCTACACATTAAACTTAAACAAACACTTAGGAATGAGTCTCTTTTTTAACCTGGGGACTTCTTGCAGTCATTTAAGTTGAAGAACCTTACAACACAGGTGCAGCCACTCTATGGAATTCAGTTTACATTTTTCTTTCTGAGTAGTTGGTGTTTGAACTGTCAAACTTATGGTTAGCACCTAAGTGTATAACCACTGGTTTTCTAATTCCTTGCATTAAAGTGAGGCTAAGTAAGAATTATGTGGACCTATTCGGACTTGCCTGTAGAGGAGCTCTGATGGTTTTGGGATTTATGCATCAGCTGGTAAGAGGAAGGTCAGCAGTTCAGAATTGACTTGATGGCAGTGAGTTTGTTTTATTCTGACCTAACTTTAACTTGAGGTGCAGCCATTATATGGAATTTACTTCACATGTATTATACAACATATATCTCAATATATGGGCTCCTTTTGTGTTAGATTTCAGCCATTTTGGGGGGCTTGTTTCAATTTGGTAGCAGGAACACTTTCTTTTTAACCTTTAGTTTTCCTTTCTGTTTGCACCAATAAGTAAAATAGGCTAGTCTTAAAAATTCTCTGGGTTTGGCAGTAGGTTATGTGGCTGAATTCTAAGGTAGAAATACATACCATACAAAACTGGGTCCCACTATGACCTGGATAATGACCTTATTGATAATTGAACTCCTTAAATGTTTAGTTTAATATATAATTGAAGCATTTATAAACTGAGAAATACATTTCTATATTATATATGACATTAGGTATGTAATAATAGATTGCCTTCTATTCATCTCTATAACCTGAGTCAGGAAAAATTTAGGCTATCTACAAAAAGCAAAAGAGATCCCTTAGGGTACAGTTGGTTACATGTTGGGTTGCTAACTACAAGCAGCGTGAACCCACCTGCCCTCTGTGGGAGAATGATGAAAATTTCTATTCTTGTAAAGATTTACAGCTCTAGATATCACTCTGAGAAGATCAGTCAATAAAAAGAGCAACACTGTCCCGACATGATTGGTGAAGACAAAGCAGGAACATAAGCAAATGTGGCGAAGAAAGCTGATGGTGCCAGCCTATCAAAAGATACAGTATCTGGGGTCTTAAAGGCTTGACGGTAAACAAGCAGCCATCTAGCTCAGAAGCAACAAAGCCCACATGGAAGAAGCACACCAGTCTTTGTGATCATGAGGTGTCAAAGGGATCAGGTATCAGGCATCAGAGAACAAAAATCCTTTCATTGAGAATGAGAGCGAGTGTGGAGTAGGGATCCAAAGCCCATCTGAAGACAACTGGCCATCCCCTTACAGAAGGGTCATGGGGAGGAGATGAGCCAGTCAGTGTGCAGTGTAGCAATGATGAAATGTACAACTTTCCTCCAGTTCTTAAATGCTTCCTCCCCTCCACTACCATGATCCCAATTCTACCTTACAAATCTGGCTAGACTAGAGCATGTACACTGGTACAGATTGGAGCTGGAAGCACAGGGAATCCAGGACAGATGATCCCTTCAGGACCAGTGGTGAGAGTGGCGATACTGGGAGGGGTGGAAGGAAGGTGGGCTGGAAAGGGGGAACTGATTAGAAGGATCTACATATAACCTCCTCCTTGGGGGACGGACAATAGAAAAGTGGGTAAAGGGAGAAGTCGGACAGTGTAAGACATGACAAAATAATAATCTATAAATTATCAACGGTTCATGGGAGGGGGGCTGTGGGGAGGGAGGAGAAAAATGAGGAGCTGGTACCAAGGGCTCAAGTAGAAAGCAAACATTTTGAGAATGTTGAAGGTAACAAATGTACAAATGTGCTTAACACAATGTATGTATGTATGTGTGGATTGTGATAAAATGATCAAATAAAATGATCAAAAATAAATAAATAAGTAAAATAAATAAAAAGCGCCCAAAACAAAATAAAAACGGAAGAAACCTAAGAATTATGTGAGATACCATCTGAAGGAATAACATGTATGTATATAATAGGCCTTCCAGAACAGGAAGACATAAAATCCCACAGAGAAGAAAGTCCAGGAACTGCTGGGGAAACATCACTAACACCATAAAAGAGAAGAACGCCATGAAACTGTGAGCCCCAAACACAATAGATCCCAAACGAAAGTCATCATAATATACCACAGTCAGGATTTTCTGTATCAAGCTCAAGGAAAGACTCATGAGAGCAGCTTGAGAGAGAGAAAAAAAGCTGGTTATAAAGGGGAAATCAATAAAAATAAGCTTCCGATTTTTTTTTCAGCAGAAACCATTTAGGCATGAAGGAAAGGAATGACATATATAAAACTCTTGAGAGAAAACTGCCAATCAGGAATCCTATATCCAAGAAAGTTATCATTCAAATATGAGGAAGAAATAAAGGAGAGCATTTCCAGATAATTAGAAATGAAAGGAATTTGTAAAAAGGTAAAAATTAGCCTCAAAAAAATCACTAAGGGGAATTCTTTGGGCAGAGAAACAATGGCAGTCATCAACCTGACCTGAGAATAGCATATTCAAACCATTTAAAGTAGTACTCAAGTAAAACAAAATTACAAGTTTGAAAATGGTGAGTGAGACAGTTTATTGTGCCAGCCTGGCTGATAAACACAAGTAGGATTAACTGAAGGGCGGAGAGATAATGGCTCGGTGAGCCTCGCCTTTCTTGTCTCTTGCTCTTTGATCATCAGACCAGTGTGGGGCTGCCTTGCTTGTTCTGTGCCTCAATTTATAGGCTTGTTCTGTGCCTCAATTTATAGGCTACACTACCTGTGGGACGCCTAGCCTGTGGACTGTGTCGCTGTAAGTTGAGGTCCCTTTAAGACATCTCTGGACCTGGGGACTGGCAGTTGGGACTGGTGGTTAGTTGACAGTTGGTGA